TAACAGTATATTGATGGTAAGCTACTAGTGGCACATATACATAGGGGGGAATAAACAAAGTACTTACGTCCGTACTTATATTTTGCAGCAACGCACACCTTCCTGCCATCAACACCAAACCATATTACACATGGCAGGCGTACAACAAACAAGAGGGCAACTTGACCCTGTCTGAAGTTTCAGTTTAGCACAGAAACAGCTGGTAGAAACTTCAGTGAAACCAAGAGAGTACTTTTTACTTTTATATTTTCTTTTACTTGAGTAAAGAATATGTGTACTTATATCAGCCCATTCAATTATCAGTAGGCCTGCACCAATCCGATATACTGCATCAGTATCCACAGCGATACTGACCTTTTTAATCCGATTGAGTATCGGCCATCGACGTTAGTCCCATAGAAATCATGTTACCTTACATACAATGATGCTAATGAGTGCACAGATACATTTGGGGAAAACTGGTATAGGAACAGTTCTCAGTATCAGTATATGCTGCATTAGAGTATTGGGAGTATTCATCAGTCTAGTATATTTGTTTAAAAAAAGTATCTCAGACAAATATCTCAACATCTCTACTGTGACCCGTCTTATGCTGCACAATTGCAACACTGACTCCACTCGGATCTCTGAAGGTGCTTGTGGTTGGGTTACTTAATATGCTTCCACAGAGCATGAGCAGCTTAAGGATCTGAAATTAGCCGCAAGGCAAGTGGTGGTGAGGTAGGAGGACTGGCTTCAGTGCTGAAGATCTTATTAGCTCACAACAGCTACAGCAAGAAAACATGGGGAAGAAGTGTGGCTAAAGCGTTACTGAAACTCCTGCAGGGTTCCTCCTCCCAAACGCCTATCAATATCTAATCAGTCATAACGTTCACACTCCCAGCTTCTAGCTATATTTGAAATCAAATCTTTTATTTTTGGATGTTCACATTGATCTGCACTTTAGTTTTAAATGTACACATCCAAATGTTTCAGAAAGATGAATATCACTGTCAATATAACAATAACAATAACATTAACCTAAACCACTGTGCCTCGCAGAGCCATTTTATATCAGAGGTGAGACTGTTGAGCGTTGTGCAGCAGTGGTGGAAAAAATATCCAGATACTTAACTTAATAGTAGCAATACTACAATATAAAATACTCTGTAATGAGTAAAAGTCCTGCATTCAAATTTTAATTGGTAAAAATACAAAGTAGTAACAGAAGAATGTACTTAAAGTATAATTGAAACTTACATATATCAATAAAGTCAATTCAAATACACGTTTTGTATTTTTTAAGATTTTAATTATTATTATAAATGATTTTAAAGCCGTAAGCGGTGGTAATTTTAACAAATTTTAGTTTTACCAACTTTTATACAAGTAGTAGTATAAAGTAAAAATGGAAATACTTAATTAAATTAGCTCAGAATTCTACCTAAGTAAATGTACTTCCACTGGCCGGTGTGTGGGGAGCAATGAATGAGTTTTGTTTGGAACAAGGACGCCGCAGAGGGATTATCTCTCTTGGACACTGATGGGGAAACCTGAAGAGGAACCTACAGCTGAAAGGTGGAGTAACAGCAACAGCAGGAGGAGGAGGAGGAGATGGAGAGGAGAGGAGGATGAGGATATCTAGTGTCTCTTCTCTGATCAACAGTCCTTTCTGTTCATTTTTATCCTCACAAAGCTGCAGGGCTGCTAGTTTGTTGCCCCGGGTGGGCTGGTTGTGAACCCCCACTGTGCGCAACTAGCACTCCCGATTAAGACACAAGGACTGTAAATGAGACTTACTTAAAGTCAAATCAGGAGAAAAGTGAAATGGCAGTAATATGTAACAGAAGGGCCGACGCGGGGTGACAAACTGGCCTTCAGGATGTGCGCTGGAGTTGTTGGGCGAGGGGATGTGTGTTCCACAACTGGCCATTGTGGTGGACAGTAATCCGATGATTCATTTGTGTTATTCAGAGGCTTTCAACTTAAATTGAAAAGCCTTGGGGGAAATCAGAACGGGTCAGGTAGGAGAACTGGGATGTTGGAGTAGACAGACTGATTGTGTTTGTGGAAGTGAATCACCAATTGGGTATGCAATTTTATAATGCTTGTTCTCAGGGGGGGTAGAACCCGGTCTGCGGTCATGCGAGCCAGGCAACGTGTCACAGATGAGAAGATTGATGCAAGTACAGATTATTTTTAAAATAAGTTCACCAAATATGAGTGCATTATTACAATAGGAACCAAATGTTCTTTAACCATGTGCTACGAGCATCTTCTGTCAGCTTCACACAGGTTTCAGAGTCCAATTTAAAAAAATAAATAAATAAAAACACATTCCCCCCAGGGAGACTCTTCTTGACAGCCCTTTCCCTGATGACACAAACAACACCATTAAATCTCTCAGTCGGCAGAAGGACGTTTCTTTAGGGGATAAGACTGGGGCAGGGAAAATGAGAATATACTTCTAATTAGAATGTGTTGATAGCACAGAGCTATCGTACAATATTGAGACTATCT